CTCACGGGGGCAGGGAGGGGTGTGCCCAGGTGATAAATCCATCTCTCCGCAGCCTGGGGTGAGGATGTTTGTGTAGCTGGTGCTCCCGGTGCCCTCCCCGTGTCACCGGGCTCGGGGCGGCTCTGCTCTTGCTGGTGTCTCTCTGCCTTTGTGTGCTGGGGAGGACGGACAGACGTGTTCAGGGGTTCCTTCGGCTTTTGGCATAGTGAAATTTAAAAAAAAAAAAAAAAAACCCACACTGACTTTCTGACAGGATTCTGCGTTTCCCAAGAGCTGGGCTGTAGGTGCCCAGCGCTGAAAAACCAGGAATCTGCGGCGCTGAGCAGCTGCTGTATTCCCTTCCTGTTCCGGAGGCGATCCTTGTGTCCATGGAATATTGCTGAGCTTTCTGAAAGCCAAAAACACCCCCTGTTATCCGTGAAAGAAAGTTCAGCCAAGCAGCCCGGGCTTGGGCAGGCAGAGCTCGGGAGGGATGCTGCCGCGGTTCCATGCTCTGAATTCCTGATCTGGAGCCTGGTGCTGTGGCCAATTTAGCTTAGATCCGAGCTCCGCGGTTACTTCCCTGGTGGATTCATCGCCCTGATGGGGAATGGGAATGAGAGGAGCGTAGCAACAGAGTCTGGCAAATGCAAACCTCCCGTTTCATATAATTGTGATGAACAAGGAGTCCTTGCCCTTGCTCCAGTGCAGAGCAAAGCGATACTTTAACTGTCTCTTTGAGTAAAAATGCCAAATAACATTTTTAATGACTTCGGTAGGATTTGTTATTTGGGAGAGCCTAAATAGGGTCCAGATGGATTTTTTTTTTTTTTTTAAAGCACTTTTGGTTTTCTAAATAAAGTAGATCTGAAATACCAGAAGCAGACACCATGGGTTCTGGAGCAATGTCAGCAAGTATTGTTGTACTCTAAACAGCAGAGATCTCTGTCTTGGCAGCTGCTGGGGCTCGCAATAGCTGTCTTGTGTTTGTGGCCGGTCCTGACAACTGACTAAATTCAGGCATTCACGTCCTGTCTTGCTTCACATAGTTCCTTACTTGATGAGCTGAACTGCTTGGGGAAAAAAAAAAAAAAAAAAAAAAAAATCTTTGGGCTTTTGGAAGATATAAATGTTGGAAATCATTTGGTAGCTGATCCCCTGAGATATTCCAGTGTCAGCTCAGAAATAAACTGTGGTATGTTCTTAATTTAGTCGTCCCATCTTTATGCCTTTTGCCTGTAGAAACAGGAAGTAGCTGATGCAAATTTCGCGTTGCTGACAGCAGTGTGTCGGGCTTCTCAAAAGCTGAATCTGAACAGAGGCGTAGGTTTGACTCGCTGTGGCTATAAAACGAACATTTGTGCCTCCCAGAATGTCTGAGTGAGGACTCAGGTTAGTGTCTGTCTCGGGCAACCGGAAGAATTTCATTTATTCTGTTTTTCTGAGAACTTGCTCGCTGCTCTGCGGTCCGGCCTTTGGCTGGGACGTGCCGACTCCTTGATATTCTCCAAACAGGAAACTCCTCTGACTGTGTTGTTTTACAGGATCGGCTTTGGGCTAGATAGTGTTTTTATAAATAAAATCCCTTCCCAGTGTATCACAGTCTAGTTGCAGATGAAAGGCTGTTTGCTGTACAGCATGTTCAAACCCGTGTTCCCAAGCTGGGATGGAAAGCGAGGCAAGGCTCGTTAACAGATTAACCGAATGCGCTGTGAAATGAATGGGCTCTCTGGCCCTGGGTGAAATGTGTGGTTGCGGTGAGTCCATAACTTCCGCTCCATTGGTAATCAAAGTTCGATTGGATTTAAACAAGACCTAGATTTAAATCCTGCATTATAGTCCCAGGAGGGAGAGCTTCATCTCCACTGCCCTGCTGTCAGCCGGAGAACCCTAACCCCGGCTGCACGCCATCGCTCCAAAGCCTTTCTCCTTCCTCCTGAGCACAGGACGGTGTGCTGAACCAAAATGACTCTTCAGTGATCCGTGTGTCTCAGCTTCCTCTCTCCAGAAGGTAAATGAGATCCCATTTTATTACTGAGATCTGTGAAGTCAGTTTGTCACTTACCAACAAATTCTTCTGCGTTCAGTGATCAATAGATAAAACACTGATTAGGTGTAGCCTGAGCAGGTCTCCTTTGTCATCGGTTTTTTTTTTTTATTTTCGCTAAACATTAATCTCTCTGGATTGCAGACTCTGGCTGTTGATATTAGGTTCTTGTCTGTACAACAAAATCTTTTTATTTCAATCTGTGTGGGTATGTATATAGCAGAAAGAGCTTCATCCACAGGGCAAAGACCGGAGCAAGGCGAGGCAAGACAGCTGTAGCGAGGAGTGACTGAGACGTAGCTGCCTGCACTTAGTTCTGATTTTGCTGCCAGTTTACCGAGAGATTTATCTTGCGAGTTGTCCTAATGCTGCCCATTCAACAGAAATTAAAATCAGTTCACCATCTGTTTACAAAGCTGGTATCGAGCACGGTGAGTTTATGGCTTCTGCGAGGGAAACCCAGGAAGGACGTGTCAAACGAGGAGGCTGGAGGGAGTCGGAATCTCAGGGCACACCTTGTTAGAGGCCATTAATCCCCGCAGTGTATCTTGAACTGATGCGATATGCTCCTCGCAACAGCGTGTTTTATTGCTGGGGTTAGGAAGCAGCTTTCCATCTGGACTTTCTGGTTTGTAATCCTGATTTGAAATGCAGTTTGCGAGTCGGTAATGGGGCTGATCAGATTAGAGTCTCGTGTGGAATGTGGGGATCAGTGGTGCAGAACAGCAGCTTTGTCTGCCCAGTGCTCGGTAAGCCTCGTGTCCTTCCTGAAACCCCTGCGTTACACCTCTCGATCCTCCTGCCCTCTAAAGCACGGGAGAATTTCCCTAACAGGTGGCTCTTTTGGGGGGGAAAAAACTCCTCCTTTGAGTGTGCTGAGAGCGGAGGAGGCAGAGCCTGGCTCTTGGCTGCACTCCCGCTCGAAGACACGAGTCCCATTCTGGATGCATCGTCCTCGGCTGCAGCAGAGCGCTGATGATCCTGCGGTCAGGATTTCTACATTGCACAGAATTTAAAAAAAAAAAGAGAAAGGTATTCATTACTGCTGATTATATGGGTGACCGCCCACAAGTTTCAGCCTCTCTGAACTTTTTTGTGTCTCGAAGCCGCCCAGGTCCTGCTGTCCAGTTTTATGCACAGGATCTCCTCTGGCTCACTCTTGCTCAGAGGAGGAAACAGCTCTCTTCCTTCTGGAAGGGGGGTGGCTTGCTCTTCTGATGCAAGCAGGCGAAATCGGGGTGGAAAACGGCCTTGTTTGTCTTGTGACATCAGTGCTGCTCATGACTAATGCTGGGTCTGCCCCACATCCTCTGGAAATGGGGGGAAAACATGCACTTTGGAGCAGGGCTGAGAAAGCCTCTGAGCTAAAAAAAACAACCTAGTTAGAACTTCAGGACGCTCTCCTCCAGGCAGGGCTTTGAGCTTTCACAGGCTGTTGCAATGAGAGGGAAGCTGTGTCCATATTGTAAAACCTTTCGATAAGTGGTGATAAGATAAAAGTACAATTGGTGACTGACTGCTACCCCTCTGCATTCCCTGTGCGTTAGTGTACTTGGAGTGTGACTTGCTGCTTGATGCAGAGTCTCTGCAAAGCAGTCATTAATGGAAAGTTTATATGACTCTTCAGACTTTTCTGGATGAGATGCTGCAGATGACTTATGTGCCTACATCACTTTCCTGTGCAGTGCCTGCAGCGTCGATTCTGTGGTTCAGACGCCAAAGCCTGGAGAGGGAGAGGATGAACAGGGGCGCATTGTTGTAGAAGCAGCTCTGCCTTCTGAGCTCGTGCAGCTGCTCGCCTTCACGTGTGCCAGGGCGGCTCGTTCCGCACGCTGATGCTCTGTAGTGTAGCGATGCTGGAGTTATAGATGTTCCCTGGAGGAATTCAAGGCTCCAGGAGATCCCCATGGGTGCATTTGCAGAATCAAAACCACTAGTTCCAACCTGAAGGGCGTGAACTCCCAGCAAAGCAGTTGTGCTTGGTTTGCTGTACGGTCACAGCTGGGACTTTAGCCAAGAACTGGCTGCAGTGAGATACTGTGCAGACCTTTGTTTTGTTGAATGATGTCAATACAAGGCTAGAAGATGTAAGTTTTGGTATCCTGATATGTGTAAGAAGTCCTTACAATGTAAGTAGAAGCCATGTGGCCATTCAGGAGCGACTGTGGCCATAGGAAGTGGCTGTGTGCGTGGCTGTTGTGTAATCTGAATGTCCCTGCTAATGTGAGGGTACCCTGCTGTCCATCACCAGGCTGCAGAACTGGGTAGAAATTATTCTTCTGGAACTGGTAGAGCTTGTACCAGACAGCTGATAAACCCTCTTCAGTGTTTGGCGGACAAGTTTTATACTGTCAGAGGATGCGAATAATTGTGTTCTGTCTGTGCAGGTTGTCGACAGCGGTAGATATGGAAAGACTGGTCGAGCGGTTGGAGAAGGCTGTGGAGCGCCTGGAGACAGTGTGCCAAGGACCTGGCATGTGTGCAGATGGCCCCTCCAAAGGTAAGGCCCAAAGCCCATCATCCTACGGGAGTCCCGGGACTGAAGCGTCAGCCGGGCAGTGCGGCAGCGTTGGACACCGGCAGGGGCACGCACAGGGCTGTGAGATGGACCCGCTGTGCTCAGAGGGGAAGTGAGTTTCGCAGCTGATACTGCGCAAACGCAGAGAGCCCTGCAGTTACCGTACTTCCTGTGGCTGCAGCACTTCCCTCATCTGCGCTCAGCTGCGTGCTTCGGGCTGAGCCTCCCGTCTGACCTGGGGGAAAGGCTGAGCGTGGAGTGGGTGGGAGCTGTCGCCCAGGAGCCCAGCTGGGGCCTCTCGGTGATACCTGTGCTCTGGTTCCTTCTCTGCAGGAATGGCTCAGTACGTGCAGGCTTTCGATGCCCTTCTGGCTGGCCCGGTAGCTGAATACATCAAGATCAGCAAAGAAGTTGGCGGGGATGTGCAGAAGCATGTAAGGACTCACGTTCTCCCTCCACTCTAAATGCTGCGTGTTCTTCAGGGCTGCTACGGCACAAGTTTGCTGTCAGTGTTTGCATTCCTTTAGTGCTGTATTCTAGGATGTTTATAATCCTCGAGGATTCAAAACAGATGCAGATGCCCAGATAACCTCCAGCAGATTGCCACCTACACATGCTATGAATCAAACCTCCTGCTTGAAATCTTTGCTTGTTAGGTGCCTGGCTGTCTTCATGGCCTTTAGGAGGCCTGTAAACTCCCCAGACCAAGAGCTGTAACATTCTAAGTTTTTTCTGAGGATGGATGTCTCCAAGAATATGTGCTTTGAGATCAGCATAGCTGCCTTCCTACAGATGAGGAACGGCAGCAGCAGGAGCTTGAATGACCGTTAGCATTATGCTGGGTGCAATGGAAGCCCGCTCATGTTCTCTCTGTTCTCAGGCTGAGATGGTTCATGCGGGTTTGATGAGCGAGAGGGCTCTTCTGGTGATGGCATCTCAACATCAGCAGCCAGCAGAGGTAAGTCTGGGGAACCGCTCATCCGAAATCTCACATGCCCTTAGCTCAGAGTCGGGGATCACTGCAGGTGTTGGGGAATCTGGGCCGTTGCAGTTGCTCTGGAGGAGGACTGGAGATACTTCCATCTATGGGGTGGCACTTGATGCAAGCATGAACTGTTCGGGTGCTCACCCAACACTGGGCAGAACTCCAGAGGTTGACTCTTGGAGCTGCAGAGGTGGCATTTTCCTGTCACTAGAGCAAGAAGTTTTCTGTAGCTGTCAGAGCAGCTTGAGTGTTGTCTCTCCCATCATCTGTCTCTAGTTCCACCTGGCACCAGCACTGCACAAACCCTGTTCCCCAGGATACACCCTGCAGACCGGAGCTTGTCTGAGACAGGAGCCACAGTGGGATTTGCCTTGAGCGTGCTTTTCATTATGTGACGCTTATAGACTTTCAGGCATTAAACTCCTCCTGAAGTATAACAGACACTCATCTCTATTGAATGGCCTCTCAATAATAGCCAGGCTTTTAGGATTGATTTGTCCTCAGACAGTAATTTAACACTTTACCCTAGGCTGCTGCTTCTCAGCAGGATGTGTCACTGAGAATCTGATCCTGAATGCATTGGCTTTTCCCTGCTGAGAACTGTTTTTCCTGAGCAACAGGATCCCACCTTGCTTTTTCTTTGCAGTTATTGTCTGGCTCGGTCATGGCTTCTACTGTGACGTTGTGGTAGCTGGATTTCTGTGCTACTTTCCTGTTCACTGCTAAATATATCTGCACCTTTCTCCCCAAACTCGGCATTGGAGGGTTGTTTATCTTTCACCAGGCTTGCTGGAACGCTGCTCTGCACAGCCTCTAGTCTGAGAATCTGCTTACAAATTCCACTGCCACGTTATTTAAATAAAGGATAGGAACAAACAACAACCTTAGTCTAGTGGAGGTCTTTGTGCAGGTTGACTTGCAGGAGTCTGCTCAGTTCTGGAGTAGCCAGTTTAAAATGCAAAATTTCATAGCTTGCGGAGAAGAATTTCCCCACCCTGGAGGGGGCTGGAAGCTTCTGAAGTGTAGCCAGTGGTCCTCAGAACCTCTCTGTTTTCATCTGAACAGAGGAAGGGACAGCAAATGGAAAAGCCCAGGCTCTGAAAAGCAAGTTTTGCCCAAATTTGTCCCTCACTGCTGCCACCAGGAGATTTTTTTCCGACCTTAAAGAAAAGTTGCCCAAGAGGCATCTCTGGAAATGCGTATTGGCTGTTCCTCCCTGACCTTAGAAGACTTATAAGCGCTTTCAGTCAGCATTCCAACTGAACAATACACAATATTTGATCATCCAATTACTAAAGGCTTGGATTGACTTGAGAAGTAACTTGAATCCTGACATCCAGCTTTGATAAGGGTGAGCCGAGAACTTGCTGTGATCCCAAACTGCAAAAACCTGCATAGCATCCCCTTTCTCTAAGGGTTTGTAAAGGAGAGGAAAAATTTGACAAACTGTCTTGGAACAAAAGAATCCAGGAAAGGCAAATGCTATTTCTGTCCCCGTTACTAACAAGCTTTGTCAGTGTCTCTTGGATTGAACATGAGTCACAGTTCTTGGCGTACTCCCATAGTACCAATCCGGCTGGGAGCTATGACTTCAGCCCTGGAGGAGCTGGGCTGTGGGACCGCGCTCGGCTCACGGGGAGGGCCAAGTCTGGACAGGAGCTGTAGCAATAACTTGTGCCAGTTGGAATCCTCCTCCGAGTGACCATCATCTCAGCAGAGCCGCCCATGAAGTTGTGCAGCCATTACAGAGCAATACTAACGTTATTAATTTTTATTGTCCCTCTTGTCCTGCAGAATGCGTTCTCATCGCTTCTGAAACCAATTTCAGAGCACATCCAGGTGGTGCAGAATTTCAGGGAGAAGAACCGTGGTAGCAAACTGTTCAATCACTTATCAGCAGTCAGCGAGAGCATCCCAGCCCTGGGCTGGGTGGCCATGGTAAGGACTCCAGTGGGAAGTGGTTTCCTTGGGCTGGTTGTAAAAGTCTGGCTCCCTGGTCAGCTGCTCCATGTCAATGTGTTCGTTCTTCTCTAGGCTCCAAAGCCTGGTCCTTATGTGAAGGAAATGACCGATGCTGCCATGTTTTATACCAACCGGATCCTCAAGGAGTACAAGGATGTGTAAGTTCACCTTCTCTCTTAAAGACGTCACTGAACACAGCTAACTGGGTGTGAAGGGGCTACTCCAGTACCTAACCACAGCTGCCTTGGGCTTTAATTCTATCTTCTCGTTAAAGGCAGTTCTATTTCTAAAGCCTCACGTAGCTGCTCTGTCCTGATCCTTAGGGACAGGATTCCTTGCACTTGTATTGCAGCTGGAATCTCTGGTAGCAAGTGTACCGCTGCTCGTCTCAGCATCAGCTGGTGCCTGAACTGTTTCCCAGGGCCACAAGTTGTATCTTGGGGATGGGTCTTATTGGAAGTACCAGATTCCCCGATTAAAATGGGTTACAGCACAGAGCAGGCCTCTGCAGGTGCAGGATTAATACTGAAGCTAAACGCAGTGCTGGAGGTGTGAGGCTGCTGTGCTGCTCCAGCTGCGTCTTGCCTGTCGGTGAGGGGTGGAGAGATGTAAAGGAGTGTCTGTAGTCCTTGGGTTTTAATGGCAAATGCACCTGCTCACTCCTCATGATCTCCTTCTGTCCTCAGAGATAAAAAGCAAGTGGACTGGGTGAAGGCTTACCTGAGTATCTGGACAGAGCTGCAGGCCTACATCAAGGAGTATCACACCACAGGGCTGACTTGGAGCAAAACAGTAAGTGCTGGCTACATCTGCAGGAGCTGCTTGGATGAGTGTTGCATGATTATTGCAGCAGAGGTGGAGCTTGTGCAATTGCCTTTCCTCTCGCTGGCCTCTTACAGGGTCCTGTAGCAACAGAAGGGACTAAAGCACCGTCCGGTCCCCCCGCCGGGGCTGCGCCTCCCCCACCAGGCCCTCCTCCCCCACCTGCTCCTGCCCCCTCCAGCTCCAGCACAGATGACTCTGCCTCCCGCTCTGCGCTCTTCGCCCAGATCAATCGGGGAGAAGGCATCACGGCTGGTAGGTGGGAACAGCCCTAAGCGAGAGGACTGTTGTGTTGGGAATCCTGGTTTTGCTGCTGTCCCTCACGCACCTGCTCAGAAAGCAGGCTGCAGTAACAAAAGACCATCGGTGTGAGGATGAGGCTGGGAGCCAGCAGGCACCCTGAGGCAGTGCACAGGGACAAAGGAACACATCTCAGAGTCCTCAGCCTCATCTGTCAGGTGTAGCAAGAGATTAATCTCTAGCTGGAAGGGAGAGTGAGCCCTTTGGTTGCCTGTGTGTCTTGGGACAAAAGGTGCCATTTTGCACCTATTCATGTTTGCACAAAACGTCCCTTTTTGTGTTAGTATCCCTTTTTGTGTTACCTGGTTAGCATACCAGGAGGACATGAAACGAAGGCGATGTGCTTGGCTCGAGGCTTTTTCCATCTGCAGAGTGGAAGAGCTGGCGCCTTCTGGTTCTACAGAACATCTTCTGTGTGATATTGCGTCAGTGTTTCTTGCTCCCTCTTTCCGTTGCTGTTACTCATGCTTTGGCTGAACTTAGGTCCAGTCTCAAGAATTTATTTGCATTTTGAGAAATGTTATCATGATGATTGTTGTAAGGGCTGATGTCTGGTGTTTGTGAAACTGCATTCTTGGAGAGAGCTGGATCTCAGGTTTGACTTCTCTTGCAGGCTTAAGACACGTCTCAGATGACATGAAGACCCACAAGAATCCAGCCCTGAAGAACCAAGGGGGTCCCGTGAGAAGTGGACCCAAACCTTTCACTGCTCCCAAACCAGCCTGTAATGCTAATCCCTCCCCAAAAACCTCTCCAAAGGCACCTGCGTTGCTAGAATTGGAGGGCAAAAAGTGGAGAGTGGTGAGCACCTGGTGTTAGCATGAGTGGGTTGGAGGGATGGGGGCTTTGCAGCAGGGCAGGAGGGTCTCCTCAAGACCTTTCCTGTAAGAGGCACCAGCCTGAAGGTACACTCAGTTTCCTTTTCAAGGGCCTGCACTGCCTGCTGGATTCATTTGCCTGCATTCAGAAAATAAAGCGTGTTTTCCTGCCTTTTCAGGAAAACCAGGAGAACGCCACTGACCTGGTAATCAGCGACACAGAGTTGAAGCAGGTAGTTTATGTTTTCAAGTGCACAAATAGTACACTCCAAATCAAAGGGAAGATCAACTCCATCACCCTCGGTAAGTGGAGAAAACCTGAAAACTGCTTCTGGTGCTGGTCTGCTCGTGGAATGCTGAATCTCCAAAACCTTTCTGTGAGCTACTCTGTCTTTTCTTTGCAGATAACTGTAAGAAGCTAGGGCTGGTGTTCGATGACGTGGTGGGCATCGTAGAGATCATAAACAGCAGGGACGTTAAAGTTCAGGTGGGTGTCTGCAATCTGTACTCTGCCTGGATATGGCTGATGTACAACAGGGTGTCTGGAGCATCTGCTGCTTTGAGTAGTTTTATTTCCAGAACAGGAGTGTGCATCTGTGGAGAACATTTGTGAAATACCCTCTGTCCTACTGCTCTGCAGCTCACCCTGCCCAGCCCTTACGAAAGGGCTGAAATTTGCCCCACTGAGCTGCTTCAGGGCTCTAGATTAGCCTCTGTGACTGCCAAAATAGGAATCCAGCAGTAGAATCTACTGATTCCAGTTTTGGTATCTGATTTGGGATGGTCAATTTGCACAGCGTTCACTGTAATTTTGTTCTAAAGACATCGAAACAAGAAATAACTGGATTTTTGCCAAAGGTTGGGAGCACTTGAATCCAGGGTTTCTGTGGCAGTGGGGTTGGAGTCAAACTTCTTGCCTTGAAGGCAAGCACAAAAGAAGAATGTTGTGGTTGCTAAGTTCAAGCTAAGGCTCCTCTAACTGCTGCCTTGACCACCCTGCTAGGTAATGGGTAAAGTGCCAACAATTTCCATCAACAAGACAGACGGCTGCCACGTGTATCTGAGCAAGAACTCCCTAGACTGCGAAATCGTTAGTGCCAAGTCATCAGAGATGAATGTCCTTATTCCCACAGAGGGTGGCGACTTTGTAAGTGTTCAGTTTTGAAATCTTTGTGGTCTGCTTGGGGTTGGGGTAATGCAGGGCAGGATTCCTTTTTTGAGCCCTGCAGAGAATGTCACAGTGAGGTCTGGAAGGACAATTCTAGATGCTAGACTTGGAGGTTGTGAATAATGATCAGATGCTAAAACTAGAAAATCAAGTTGTTTGTCTTTACAGTGAGATAACGTGCCATTTTGCAAGAGTTTCTTTTTCCTCAGGATCTCTTGTGGGGAGAACAGGCAGCACCTGTGGTACAGGAGGGGACATAGCATGTATTTAAGAAAATAAGTGCCTGAAGCAGTGGGAGTAGTTACTAGTCTCAGTCGTAAACTGGTTTTTGACAATAGATTTCTATTTTTACCCTCCAGACTGAATTCCCTGTCCCAGAACAGTTCAAGACAGTGTGGAACGGTCAGAAGTTGGTTACTACTGTGACAGAAATCGCTGGCTAAGCAGAAAAGCTCCAAGGCTCATGCCCTCCCCTGGCCATGCTGTGGGACAAATCTGCTTTCCGATGATTCTTTTAGATTTCTTGTACCTTTCTGCTCTCAAACTGCTTCTCTTCTACCCGAGAGACACAGCTACCTGCCATCACTGAAATACCTCTTTGGTGTAGGTGGCGGGTCAATTATCGTCCACATCTATTAGCAGGAAGGCGTTATTCTTTTTTCCTCCCCTTGTCCGATCTAACTGCACCAATTGATAAAGTCAGATTTTCAGTGAACTTCACAGCCAGTACTGGCAGTTGGCTTTCAGAGTGTTGTTTGGGGTTTTTTTTGTATTGCCTTTAAGCAAACTGTTCATGTGAGAGAGGAATGTTGTCCCCTTTTTAACAAGTAATGGTGTCTGTGGGGTCCAGAGTACCCAGCTGCTATGGCAGATGTCTCAAGAAGGTCCTGGAAGCTGCTAATTCCAGCTCTATGTACTAGTTGGTGGCATTACAGGACATGAGGATGGCTTTGTTGGACCAAATGCTGAGGACCTGGGCTGTAGCATTCCACCTTCATTTCTCTTTCATCATTCCTGCTAGCTCAGTGTATTTCTGATTGTGCCATGACAGGAGGCTTCATCTACACCAGTGCCACAGGAAGACTGCAGTGGAGTAACTGTGGTTACCCACCCCCTGGCAGTCTGGCTGGTAGCCTGGAGCTGAGCACCTCTTATTCCGTGAGCCCTCCACCCTCGCAGGGGAATCTTTGCCCCAGGGCTTCCTTCTTGGAGCAGCTGAACTCAGGTTCAGTCTTCCAGGACGGTTCTTCTGAACCTGTCCCCTTCTGCAGAAGAAGGGTCTCCTTCATTCCAGGGTCAGTAGTGCAGTGTTGTAAATAACGAGTTCGATCGAGTCGGTTCATCACTCTGTTCCTCATCTGCAATCAGTCCCATAAAGTGAATCCTCTAACTCCCCTTTCCCCTCTTGCTTGGCTCTTTACTTTGGTGGAAGCTTGTAGCCTCTGTTCCAGGCCCCTGGAGCAGAGTGATGGATCCAAGGCACAGTACTGTACTGACCCGTAAAGGGAGCTGCACGTGCTTTGACCTTCAGTTTTCCAACGCCTCGGGTGGCATAAGCATATCTTAAATGCATTTCCTCTGTAAAGTGTCAATGTACTTTTTCTCTAGGACAAAACTTACAAAAAATATGCAATTTTTTATTTTGAGACTGTCCTGTGACTTGTACTCGTCTTCTCCTGAGGCTTGTGAAAAAACCTTTCTTATGTACTTAAGATTATACAGAAGATAGAATAAAGTTAATGCCAACTTGCTCATTACCATGGCTCTTGTTTACTCTTTGGGGGCACACAGGACGGCAGGCAGGACAAGATGCCCCTTGCTGCCTCACCTTGCCTAGACTGCTTTGAATACTTTCCCCTTGGGGAAGTACAGACTTCCCTCAGCTCCCCTCAAATCAATTTGTCAGGAGTTGTCAAATCTTTTTTTCTTTTTTGTTAGATTGAAAGTTCTTTATTGATTTCAGTTGCTGTACAAAAGTGCATAAAACAAGCCATTAGTTGAAAACTGTTCAAGCTGTTAATACCCACTTAACCTCAAACCCTCCTTTTTCCCCAGAAACCCCTAAATCTCACTCATTTCCCCATCCTGAAGGAGAGGCTGTAATATCTTTCCCCTGCATCCAGCCCTGTAAGTCTGCTTGCTGATCCCCTGAGGAGATGCAGCACTCTTACACTAGCGATTTCGGTTAATACTGCCATGTGTCCTGCAAGGAACAGGTGACAGGGAAAACAAACCTCTCATGCAGCTAATCATTTTGCCATCTCTGAGAACTGTGCAGCGCAGGATGGAGAGCTTCAGAGTTAGTGCAAGGCTCTGTTACACCCAGACAAATCCTCACCTCTTACCGCAGGTGCCACCTCCGCACACCATGGAACTGCTGAGCTAAACCCCCTCGTCTCCCCCTTCCCCTGATCCCCGCAGGCTTGTATGCAGAAAGTGCTGTTGCCCAGTAGCAGCGGCAATAACTACAGTGGTAAACCCTCCCGCTGCGCTCACAGGGTGTCTCCCCTGAGCTTCACTGGAGGAAGGGAAGGACAGTGGTGTCAAACCACTCTTCTGAGAATTGCAGGTGATCCCCTTTCACCCCCAGGAACACCAGTTTTCCTGCTTTGTCCATCTCCTGCAGCCCCAGGCGATCCTGCAGAGAGAAGTATGACCATAGCTTCTGGGGCTCTGCCACAGCCACATGCTGCCAACGGTGGGGAACCCGGCACGGAGAAAAGCCCCGAGGGACAGAGACTGCTGTTGCAGCAGCAGTGGCTGGCAGGCTAGAGCAGGTTCCACCTCTGGTCTTCAAAGTTTCTCACAGAGGGGAAAAAGGTGTTTTCTGGATAACTCATAAGGCTTTGAAAAGGAGCTGAGTTTGTTAAACCTGTGCTGAAGGACATCATGAGCCAGGCTCAAGACCACCACTTAATTCCCACTACCAGAACTGGCCTAGAGGGAAATCCTTCCCAAACAGCTACAGACAAGAGGAGGCCATGCTCCAGGAAGGGCAGAGATGGTGAGTGGAGTATACTGTAGGGTTTAGAGTTCCTCAAGGTCCTGGGGACACTACAGAAACCCCTCAGGCCCCAGCAGAACATACCTCTGTGTACAGCGAGGTCTCCCTCAGCGGGATGGTCTCCTTGGCTTGGCCGCTTTTGTAGAACCCAAACCACTGTCAGAATGAAAACAAGGAAACAGCTGCTGAAGGGCCCCAGGAGATAAGCAGGCTTTCCCCAGCTTCCGCTGGAGACGTTGCAGTATCAGAGCAGTGTTTGTGCTCAGCCTGCTCCTCACCAGCCACAAGTTCTGCCACCAAAGGACAAACCAGAAACAAGCAAGGAAGCACGCCCCAAAACTCCCCCCAAAGCAGCATCTGCCCTGCCTGCCTCACCTCAGAGATGGGAGGATCGACCATGGTATCATTGAGAAACTTCACCATCACAAACTTTTTCAGAGCCATCAGGTTTTTCTTGTATGTCTCATTGATGCCCTGGATGAAAGAGAGAACAGATCGAAGTCACTGGAGAGCTCAGAGGTCAGGGAAACCCAACTTGCCCTGCACCTGCCCTGCTGCCAGGGAGAGCCAACGTGAAGGAACTCACTGCTACGGCTTTTCTGCTCTCCCGCTTGCATTTAATCATCAGACAGGTCCTTACCCTCTCCTGATTTATGTCAGCCAAAAAGATGCTGTTTTTCCTGTAGTCCTCCTCCTTCAGAGGGTCATGCCAATACTCTGCTTGTACCAAGCTGGAGAAGAGAGAAACCAGAGATCAGACTGGAAACCGAGAGCTGCTCACGTGCGCCCGGCCCCCGTCCTTGCAGCCTGACGAATATACTCACTGCTCCTGAACAGCTTGCGTGTAGGCGCCCAGATCCAGCATCTTTCGGATCCAGTCACAGATATGGGAGCTCTCACCAGGACAGCGTGGAAAGCCATATACGCCTGGGGTATGGAGATGTGTAACAGTTCGGTGAGCCAAACTGAAATCCCTTAATCCCTCCAGCTGGTAAAGAACCAGCCTCTTACAGCGCAGTGGCAAGAATTACCCAGGGAATCAGGCGGCCTTTAATCCTGCAATCTCATTAGACAGCCCTGCTGCCCCTGGGTGCTATTACACACAAAGCTAATGGAAGATGTTCTTGAGCTCTGGAGAACAGGGGCATGCAGACAAGTGGAATACTGTCCTGCTCACCTGGTGTGTTCCCAGGAGGTCTCAGGATGGTTCCCTACAAGTCTTCCCTTTGTACTACAAAGAAATAGACTCAAGCCATGGAACTTCTCAGGGAAGAGTATCTGAAATCCATTGCCAGCTGCTCTCAACTGTACACCTCTTAAATTCCATTTCATACTGCCTCTTTAATCTACTGCAAAAAACACCTCCCCTTCCCTGGGGCTTTAGCCTTCCAGACACTGATCGTAAAAAACCCTTGTGACCCAGAAGGTTTAGTTTCACAAAGGCTTTGCTCTGTAGTTAGAAATTTTGTCTCCCTAAAGAACTATTCCCAAGTGCTTCCAAAGTACAGAAGAATTCAACCCAGACAATAAGTCGTCTTCTTACAAAGGTCCCTTCTCAAGATAGAAGATAATATGGTCTGCTAACAACAGGCCAAAGCAGATCACCAGATTCGGAAGAACAAAGGAACAGTTTAATGCATAAGAAAATGGTCAGATTTTAGGAACGGGCCAAAAAAAAAAAAATTATTCCTCCTGCCAACAAAAGCCCCCCACTCTTCACAGTGGTTAGGAGGTGAGGTAGCTGGAGAGGACACTACCTTGGTGCTGTCCCCCGATGGAGATCAGATTGAGCATGGGAGGAGAAGGACACCTCTGGGCCACCGCCCTCCTGGGGGGAAAGATGAAGGAGCTGAGCTGATGCAGTGTGCCCAGACCACCAGTGCTGGTTCACGGGTAGCTCTCAGCTTGCCACTTCACTGGGGCACTTGAGTAACATTTTGCAAAGAGAATTAACCCTTCCTGGGCTACAGGCAAACACAAAGCCTTTGGAGTGCTCCTGCCTTTATGAAGGGGTTTGTCAGTTTACATCTCCGTAGTACTTCAAAAGAGCTTTAAATCAGAGCCTAAAACCCAACAAAAATAACGGGAAATGGAACAGAAACATAAACTTACAGGAACTGGCCTCCCTGGGAGAAGCCCATTGCATTGTAGCCTCCTTTCAGGTGAGGGTCATTTGCGAGCTGGCCACACACGTCTCTCACTTGATCGTTCGCATTCATAAAGAAGCTGTTCTCCATATCCTGATGGATTAGCCAGAAAGTACACCTTACACCTTTACAATGGCTTACGTTACTTTAATCTCTGCAACTAGATTGCTAACAGTTCTGCTTTTGAAAGAGAACCTTAACTTTCACAATGACAGAAGTGAAATTCAAGTTTTGAGACTTCCCTTCACCACACCTTTGTTCCTACTCTTCCTGGCAAAACTGTCCCATATGGAACAGTGACATTTCCTCAAACTTCTTGGCAATTTGAGTCCCTTCAGATTTTGTTTGTCTCTATATATATGTAAATTAAAAATCAAACTTCACCCATCTTCCCCAGATCCCAGAAAATAACATACATTGCACATTATCCTGAGAGACTATCTAAAGAAATTCTGTAGGGCTACATAAAACTGTCAAAAAACACCAAGGTGCAGAAGTCTGTATCTGTGTTATACTGAAGATATTTAGTGAATAAACTGCTGTAAATCAGAAAGGATGGCAAGGGATAAAGCTGTGCTTTAGCACAGGATCTTATCACGTGCCTTTGTATTACCTGG